CCTCACTTTTTTGAAAGATTTCAATTTTTATTCCATCAATTCCTGGTGCCTTATTCTTTGCCAATTCCTTCAATGCACCTTGGACTTCCTCCCTGAATATCATTGGCTCTTGATCATATATATGCTATCTCTTGAAATGGTTGAACATTACCATTTCCTTTTGGTACAGTGACTCTGTGTATTCCTTCCATCTTCTCTTGATGCTTTGTGCATCATTCAATAATTTGCCCAGAGAATCTTTCAATATGTATAATGAAGGTCGAGGCTTGAATTTTTCCTTCAGTTCTCCCAACTTGAGAAATGCTGAGCATGTTCTTCCTTTTTGTTTTTTTGATTCCAAATCTTTGCACATTTTATTATAATATTTGGGATATTATAATAAATGGTATATTATTTAGTCATGAAAAGGAATAAAGTTCTAATATAAACTACTACATAGATGAACCTTGAAAACATAATGTTGAGTGAAATAAGTCAGATCCAATATGTCCAATACTGGATGGTTACATTTATATAAGCTATCTGTTGTTGTTAAGTGCCCTGATTCACAGTGACCCTGTAAAGGGTTTCCAGGGAGCAGACAATGAGTTGGAACCACCGACTGTGAGGTTCAAATCTATCTTGCAGTTCAGTGCAATGTCCTGTGGAGCCACACAGATAATAGATTATAATACTTTGTCTTCTCGAGTTGCCATGTGAAATTTTCTGTTTAGCTATTTTACTTCATGATTTCTTCCAGTAACTTTAACTTCTCTACATTCAAGAGGAAGTTTCAGAGTCTCTTCTGACATCCATTTTGGTTTTCTTTCTTCATTCGTTTATTTATTTATTTATTTATTTTAAGTTTTTTATCGTGGATTGAGTGAAAGTTTACAGGGCAGATCACATTTTTTACATTCAACAAATCATATACCTTGTTTCATTACAATGATTATAGTCCCCTCCATGTACCATCGGTTAACACTATTTCTTACTATTTGTTTTAGCTTTTTTTAAAAAAACAAAACAAAACAAAACAAAACCCCAGCACTTAGGCATATATAATAATTTACACCTCTAAAGGGCACATTCTGCAAGTCAGCTTGAGTTTCTGGCAGTGCCCTGTTGATGTACTCTTGCTTCTGTTTTTGAATTATCTTCAGCAAAATTTTACTTGCATGTGATATTAATGATATTGTTTGGTGATTTCTGCATTCCATTGGGTCATCTCTCTTTGGAATGAGCACAAATAGGGATCTCTTCCAATCAGTTTACCAGGTAGCTGTCTTTTAAGTTTCTTGGCATAGATGAGTGAGTGCCTCCGATGCTGCATCAGTTTGTTGAAAGATTTCAATTTGTATTCGTCAACTCCTGGATTGTTTTTCACCAGTGCAGCCTGAATTTCTTCCTTTAGTACCATTGGCCCCTTGATCACATTAGAGCAATGTCTGACTTCCTCTGGCTTCACAAAGAGAATCAAACTCAAAATCAGCCCAAGGCCTATTCCTATGAAACAGACGTCAGACATGCTTCCACCCTACAATCTTCTTTACCCTATTCTAACACCAGCCATCCCTCCTACAGCAGTCTCTGCTTCACATCTGGGTTTGATAATCCATTGTAATTGTCACATATAACTCATAACAATACCCGTGATTATGGGGTTTATTAAGGGAAGTGAACAGGGTATAAGTCAGGATCAAAACCAACTCAGAATGCAACAATTCTCCAGTCAGGAATGTCTCTTGTCTACCGTACTGCAGGCATACCTCACTCTTGTCTTCAGCCTTTCAGCCTTGGTCTCTGCCCTGATTGGGCAAGTGTTAAAAAGCTCTTTTGCCAGTCTGTGAATGCCCAAAAGGCACAGTCTTCAAGTCAGTCTCTTGCCTGTAGGCACTCAGCTTTACTCAGTCCACAGGCCTAGAGCCTGAAGCTGCTCTATCTTTCCATGCCATTGCCTCTTTGTTGTCTCTTGACATTGCCTCATGCCATTGCCTCTTGCCATCTCACCTTGCTGTCTCATGCTCTACTCATGCTCTTCCTCCTTGATGGTCCTGGGATCTTCCATCTCTTCTTCTGAGATGGTTCCATTTAAACCAGCTGAAGAGCAAACTAACCAGTCCCAGCCTTAGAGTCCTGCATACCTTATTTGCATGGTTTATCTAATCACTTGATGGGAATTAAGAAGACTTTGGTTATAAAAGCCATATCAAATAAATTCAAGGCACCACAATATGCTACCTCTTGAAATGGTTGAACATCGACCATTTCTCTTTGATACAATGACTCTGTGTATACCTTCCCTCTTCTTTTTAATGCTTTCTGTATCATTCTCTATTTTGCCCATGGAATCATTCAATATTCTAAGTCAAGGGTTGAATTTTTTTCTTTTGTTCATTCAGCTTGAGAAATGCTGTGCATGTTCTTCCCTTTTGGTTTTCCAACTCCAGGTCTTTGCATATTTTATTATAATACTTGACACTGTCTTCTTGAGCCATTTTGAATCAGACAATCATATGGTTTACTAAGCTGTGAACTACAAATTCAAGAGGAATGGCATAGCATTCAGCATCAGTAAGAACATTTCAAGATCTATCTTATATCCAACACTGTGTGAATGGATAATATTCATACATCTACAAGGACGACCAGTTAAAAAAACTATTATTCAAATTTATGCACCAACCATTAAGACTAGTGATGATGAAAGTGAAGAATTCTACCAACTTCGAGGGAGCTCTGGTAGCGTAGTGGTTATGAATGGGGCTGTGAACTGCAAGGTCAGCAGTTCAAAACTACCAACTGCTCCGCGGGAGACAGACAAGGCTTTCTGCTCCCGTAAAGATCTGCAGCCTCGGAAACCCTGTACAGGGTCGCTATGAGTTGAAACCGACTTGACAGCACCTAACAACAACAACAACCAACGTCTTCAGTCTGATATTGATCAAACATGTCATCAAGATGTATTGACAATTACTGGTGATTTAGATGCAAAAAGTGGAAACAAAGAGGAAGAATCAGTAGTTAGAAAATATGACCTTGGTGATAGAAATGATGTTGGAGATCACATGATAGAATTTTGCAAGACAAATGATTTATTAATTGCAAATACCTTTTATAAACAACATCAAAGGTGATGATACACGTGGACCTCACCAGATGGAATACACAAGCTCAAACTGACTTCATCTGTGGGATGGTAGAAAAACTCCATGTTGTTAAGTGCCACTGAGTCGATTTTGACTCATAGCAACCCTGTATTGGGCTTCTGAGCAGCAGCTGGTGGGTTTGAACTTCTGACCTTGTGGTTTGGAACCCAGTATTGATCCTATAGCACCACATTAGGAGTCCAAACTTGGAGAAAAGTTCCATATCATCAGCTAAAACAAGGCCAAAGCAGACTGTGAAACAGACCACTCAGTATAGATATGCTATATTCTTATTGTAACATGTATCAAGACTTCATTTCTCTTACTGGCAGAGTAGTATTCCATTGTATGTATGTATTTTGTTTATCCACTCATCTGAGTATTGTGGTTTTAACTTAGCTTTTCCTAACTACAGATAAGTCGTTCATTTCACCCTGTTTTATTGTTTGTTTTGGCGATGCTTATCCCTATCTTTTTTAAAGCATTTTATTCTGCTTTAGGTGAACATTTACATAGCAAATTAGTTTTCCAATCAATAATTCATACACATTTGTTTCAATCCCCACAGTGTGTCAGCACTTCCCTATTTCTTCCCTGTGTTCCACATTTCCATCCATATAGTTTTTCTTTCCCTTCCTGCCTTTTCATCTTTGTGTTTGGGCAAATATTGCCCTTTTGGTTCATCCCTGGTGTTTTTTAAATTGTTAGAGATGTTTGAGTAAGGTGTTGATTTTAGTTCTTTCTTCTTTTTGGATGTGTGTATTTATTGCTATAAATTACCCTCTGTCTATCTGACTGAGCACTGCTTTTACTGTGCCCCAAAGATTTTGGCATGTTGTGTGTTCATTCTTGTTTGATTCAAGGATTTTTAATATTTCAGTTTTATTTCTTCTACTAACCCATAGCTTTTAAGTAGGGTGCTGTCAATTTCCATGTATTTAATTAACTTTTTTCCTTTCTCTTTCTATTATTGGTTTCTAATTTTATAGAATTGTGATCTGGGAAAATGCGTTGTAGTATTTTGATGTTTTAAAATTTATTGAGATTCGCTTTGAGGCCTAACATATGGTTTGTTCTGGAGACTATTTCCTGTGCTCTGAGAAGAATGTATTATGTGCTGTTGTTGGGTTACATGCTTTGTACATGTCTATGAGATCAAATGGTTGATTGTGTTGTTCAGTTCTTCTGTGTCTTTGCTGAGTTTAATAGGAGGGTTTTTTAAATGTATATAATCTATGGTTTTCCCAGACACATTTTATGTCCTTATTTTTCTAAGTCACTGTATTTACACACACACACATACATGCACCCATCCTAACTTTATTGTTCATGTTAACTTTTTTGATCTTCAAAAGGAGCTCTGGTAGAGTAGTGTCGGAACTGACTCCACAGTACACCACCACCACCACCACCAAGGACTGTAAAGTCGTTTGAACTGCAAGGTCGGTGGTTCGAGCTCACCAGCTGCTACTCTGAAACCCTGTACAGGGTAGCTATGGGTCGGGTCATAATCGATTCGACAGCACTTAACAACAGCAACACCAAGGACAGATGCAATGATTAGTTAGGTCATATCTTCACACTTTAAAAGGATCTGTAGCTATTCACTGGCCAGAGCTTTTTCCTCAAAATTATTTGCTTAAATCATATAGCCCAAGTTTACAGAGATAATATGTTTCCTAGAAATACTTCTAAGACTCACTTTGAGAGTAGCAGGTCCAGTGATTAGATTCAAACAAAGTCCGTGTATATTTAGAGAACAGTCAAGTCAGTGAGTGCCACAGAAGTGAGCGAACTTTTGCAGGGAAAATGTCTACCCGGTAGCTTGTTTGGATAGCCATGTTTTTGCTTACCAGCGTCCACTTTTGTCCTTTTTCCAAGATCATGAAATGTGTGTTGTCTCCTAAGGTCTGAAAGAACTCTTCTGTATCCACCACGGTGCCATCTTCCTCGAGCACCAAAGTGACCAGCCCAGCAGTTATAACTAGAGCGTCCAGGGTCTACATTTGCATCAAAGAAACAGAATGAAGAAGATATTTTCATTAGTCTGTCTGATGACATTTATTAGGTTTGTTGTTGTTGTTAAGTATCATCGAATCAGTTCTGACTCATAGCAATCCTGTATAGGATTTTCAAGGAGCACCTGGTGGGTTTGAACTACCAACCTTGTGGTTAGCAGTCCACTGCTTATCCTACAGTACCACACCAGGTTTTGTTGTTGTTGTTGTTAAGTGCCTTTGAGTCGGTTCTGACTCATAGTGACACTGTATAAGGTTTCTGAGAACTCCTTAAGAAGGTTGTTGTTGTTAAGTGCCGTTGAGTTGATTCTGACTCATAGCGACCCTGTATAGGGTTTCTGAGGGGTAGCTGGTATGTTTGCACTGCTGACCTTGTGGTTGTGGCGGTGGTGGTTATGTGCTGTGGATTCAGTTCCAATTCATAGTGGCCCTGCATAGGGTTTCCAAGAGTGTAAATCAAGTCCTGGTGTGGTGCTGGGAGTTAATGCACTGGATTGAAAAGTTGGTTTGAACTGCAAAGCTCACCAGCTGCTCCTCTGAAACCTTTACCGGGTCGCTATGTGTTGGAACTGATCTGATGGCACTTAACAACAAATCTTTATGAAACAGAAAGCCTCATCTTTCTCCTGTGGAATGACTGGTAGTTTAGAACTGTCAACCTTGAGGTTAGTAATGTGACTCATAGCCACTACGCTACCAGAGGTAGATTGTTTTTGTTAAGTGCCATTGAGTCAGTTTCCACTCATAGTGACCCTGTATAGGGTTTCCGAGGAGTGGCTGATGGGCTTGAACCTCCTACCTTATGGTTCAAGCCCACCTTGCAGTCCAGCACATTAACCCACAACACCACACCAGGACTCCAGATCAGGACTCCAGAGGTAGGTTAGCATTTGAGACAGTTTAGAGTTTGAATTTTGATAAAATGTAAATGGTAAAGAGGTACCATAGTTAATACCTACAGTTCAGTCTTATGCTTGGAAAAAGAAAAGATTTTCCAAGGGCCTACCTTCTTAAGAGAGTCCTGGTGTGGCTCTGTGGGCTAATGCACTAAACTGCAAAGTTGGTTTGAACCACAAGGTTGGTTACTTAACAACAAGAGGATATAATAATGTTTCCTGTGAACACTGAGAACTTGATTTCCCTCTTAGAGGCAAAGAGAGGGTCTATCAAGTTGGATATGCTATTTTTCTGAATAGTTCTATCTTTACACAGGCTTAGTACTTGCGGTCACGGCCCTCTGAGTCTGGGATCTTCTGAGGACTAGCAGGACACACACCTTGCTGATGAGCTCTTTCAGGCTACTGGCCATCACCCCTCGCCGGCTGCTTCTATCATGGTTTGAGACCCGGAAAGGACGAGCCGAATGCATAAGGGGAGTAAACAGTACTCTTTTTGTCTGTGATCCCATAAATGTCAAGGGTCTGAAATGGAAAAGAATAAGAACTATTTTAGACAGTACTTTTAGAATCTTTAAAGAGAGATTTGAAGTACACAGGAATAATGCAATTGTAATACTTGCATCTAAAAGAAAGAAACTCCATGGTTGGGAGCTATTGGATGTTTTATATACATGCCCAAGAAACAAACAAGTGTTACATTAAGTTAAAAAACACAGCCACTATTAATTCTATTTTACCCCCAAATTCTTGCAATAAGAAGAAATTTAAGAAGGAATGGTAATCCACAAGACTCAAAACAGAAAGAAAAATTCTATTTTGCAAACATTAGTTTTTTATCTAAAATTTCAAGAAAATGATTTCTAGTGGTCATGAAATAGATAAGCAGAATAAGAAAATGAGGTATACACAGCACACACTCAACCCACCAAGAGTTACACAGTGGTACAATAACATTAAGTTAGCAATGAATTTAAACACCAGATCTTGGTTACTATGTTACTGTTGCTGTAAAGTGCCGAAGGACCATGGTGTTGGTTCAGACGCATAGTGACCCTGTATGAGATTTCTAGGGAGCCAGTCGTGGATATGAACTGTCAGCCTTGTGATTAGCAGTCCAGTGCTTATCCTAGACTGCCACGCCAGGTTACTATAGCAATAAACACATTCTTTGAAACTAATTTAGGAGCAACTGGGAACAACAGAACCACTCTAACAACTGCTAATGAAATAACAAGATGAGAAAGAACTTATGAAGTGACATTTTGAAGTAAATTCTACATTTACCAAAGAATTACTTTATAAATATACTATAGAAAAACATTAGCATGAAATAAAATTGTAGTAAAACCAAAACGTGGCTTAGTTTTCAGAGAAAAAACATCCTCCACCCTCAATTATGAGAGAAAAAAAAAGTATTAAAATGAAGGATAAATGAGAAATTGTTGTTGTTGTTGTTAAGTGCCACTGAGTTGGTTCCTTGCAGTTCAAACTGACTTTGCAGTTTAGCACATTAAGCCACAGCGCCACACCAGGACTCAAATGAGAAGTATATGATAAGAAACAATACTTTACATATTTTGCTTTATAATTATAATACTATCTAATTTATGGTGTGGCACTGTGGGTTAGTGCACTGGACTGCAAGGTCAGTTTGAACCTCAAGGTTGGCAGTTTAAGGTCACCAGCTGCTCCTTGAAAACTATACAGGGTCACTATGCTATGAGTCGGAACCGACTCGATGGCACTTAACAACAATTTATATTGACTCATTTAATCATCAAAAACCCCTGTGACACAGTCCTATTTTTCTAAATATGCAGATGAGGGAACCGGCCGCAGTGAACTGAAACACAGCTGGTTTCAGACCTAGTATGTGTTATTTACCCTATAAAGTTATCTAGATGCCATGTGCTAAGGAATTAGATAAAAAGGAGGGGGGGAGTATAGTAGTAAATATGTGAAGCTTTTGATTGCAATTAAAGAAATGAAACACTTTCAACACATTGTTGCTGTGTGCCGTGTGTGTGTTTGTGTGTGTGTGTGTATATATATATATATATATACAAACTAGTTACCGTTGATGATTCAATTCTGAATTATGGAAACTTCATATGTGTCAGAGTAGAACTGTGATCTGTGGGGTTTTCAATGACTGATAGTTTAGAAGTAGATCACCAGAACATTCTTCGGAGGTGCCTCTTCATTGACTCAAACTTCCATCCTTTCAGTTAGCAGAATGGGTCAACTGTTCATAGTACCCAGAGACTCTGATATATGTATATATATATGCATGCACATGGTTTATTTTCCCAACTAGACTGAAATTCCCTATCATGCCCATAGTGCTAGGCACATATGTTTTAAATAGTATCTTGTCTAACTAGAAGTTCTTCAAACGAACACAAGGAAAAATCCAATGACTTGCTGTATGGAAAGCTAGGCAGTATAGCAAGCAACCACCTTTCAAAAATTGAGTTCATGCACCCAGCCTAATAAACCAGTTTCAGGAGGGAGCCCCACAGAAGCCAGGGTGCTTGCCTTTTCCCTTTGCGAAGTCAACAGAGCTAAATTGTTAGCAGAAAATTTTTGAAAAATGTTCTGGTAGTTACAAACTATGCTTTAATCGTTCGGTTTTTGATAGATGGACATATTCTTTACAAGTGGTTCTTAAGAATCATTGGGGAGCTACCTTAACCTGAGTGCATGAGAAAAGTTAAAGTGTTTAAAAAGGAAAAGGGACAAGCAGAAACAGCTACTGAAGAATTTGCTGGTGTGTGATCACAGTACAAGGAAGGGGAGAGAATCTTACGGAGCTAGAACTATTACAAGAGGACAGAATCTCAGTGAGGTGGTTGAACAGCATGAACAGGAGCTGACAAGAAGGAAGATAGAACACCAATAAATCTAGATATCCAAATATCAGAAATATTTACATGAGAATTTAGCTTAGGAGGACCAACAGGTGAAGAATCAACACTTGGTACTTTTGTAAGTTCATGATCCATTAATAAAAATTTAAGAGATAGTTATAGTACCAGGTTTAAATGCTAGGTTTTACTCTAATACCATTATTACAGAGCTAATAGAACATTTACAAATGAAAATAGCTTTCTAGCAGATTCTTCTCTCATTTAGAACAGCAATAAACCAAACTCCTTAATCTATAAATCGAAGCCATTTTAAGTTAAGTATCAAGTGTTGAAGCATTTTCCCAAACCACGGATGAGGGCAGCAAGAAAATCACTCCTTTCACCAAAACCTTGAATCTGCTGAAGATAATAATTTCTACATAGACAATTTATAAAGTAGACTTTTTAGAAAGTAGTGTTCCTGAGCTCTGGTAGCATAGTGGTTACGAATTGGGCTTCTAATCTCAAGGTCAGCAGTTGGAAACTACCAGCTGTTCCACGGGAGAAAAATGAGGCTTTCTGCTCCCATAAAGATTTACAGCCTCGGAAACCCTATGCAGGGTTGCTATGAGTCAGAACTGACTCCATGGCACATAACCATCACCACCAGTGTTATGGACTAGGTGGATTATAACAAACTATGGATAAAATTGCGAAGAATGGGAATTCCAGAACACTTCATTGTGCTTATGAGGAAACTGTACATAGACCAAAAGTCAGTCCTTTGACTGGAACAAGGAGTTACTGAATGTTTTAAAATCAGGAAAGGTGTGTGATAGGGTTGCACTCTTTCACCTGCTTATTCAATCTGTATGATGAGCAAGTAATCTGAGAAATTGGCTTATAAAAAGAAGAATGTGGTATCAGGATTGAAGGAAGACTCATTAACATTTGTGTCATATGAAGATGACACAACCTTACTTGCTGGAAGCAAAGAAGACTAGAGATAGTTACTAATGAAGATCAAGCATTATGTACTATGAATGAAGACAACAGCCTTCAAAATGGATTGTTTCTCAATGTAAAGAAAATGAGAATCCTCGCCATTGGACCAAATAAATAACATCTTGATAAACAGAGAAAAGATTGAAGTTGTCACAGACTTCATTTTGCTTGGATCCACAATCAATGCTCATGGAAGCAGCAGCCGAGCAACATGTTGAATTAAGCAAATCTGCTGCAAAAGAAGTAGTCAAGAGCAAAAAGTCAGTTTGAGGACTAAGGTATGCTTGATCCAAGCCATGGAAGGTATTTTGTTTTTTATGTTTTATTGTGAATTATATGATAGTTTACATGGGAGAACTTTAGTTTTACATTCATTCCATCTTATATCATCTCACTGCCATGGTTCCAATACACTCCATGCATCATCAACCATCCAAAGGGTATATCCCAGAAACCCACCCTCTACACTTCCCCCTCCTCCCTCCAATTTTTGACCCACAGTCCCTTTCCCTCTCTGGGTCCAAGGTCCCCAGTTGCTTCATCACTCCACGTCATCGTCTCTGTCTCTATCTCAGACGTCTCTGTTTCTCTGGGTAGGGTCCCACTCTCGTCTCTTCTCCGTTGATGGTCCCAGAGGCCTCCGCTCCTATCCTGGAGAATTAATCACTCCCTTCCTTGTTACAAAACTTCCACCTTTGCATTTCC